TCATAGCTTTCAACATGAAGGAGTATGTAAGATCTTGAAAACAGATTATAAAAGAGGTTTTTTAACAGCTGGCTTTCTGCTGAAGCAAATTTTTCAACTCCCACAACAGACATGCTGGGTATTTCAGCATTCCAGATTTTTTTTTTTTTCTATACTGTATCGTGAAATAATGAAATGTTTCTTCAGTCAGTGGTATCATACGAGGCAAATACAAGCTGGAGCACTGGTAAAGACAGTAGTTCACACATATGTCACTATCATTCAGTTGTTCCAGACATTTCTGTCATGATAAAACAGTACTGTATCACTCCTTTGGTCTGAACCACATCTCTAAACCATGCAGCCATGGTTCTATCCAGTGGTATAAATCCAGGGAGCTAAACAGCCTTGGAAATGTCCATGGTTCATTTCAGCAGCAGCACTTATCTGGCTGAGTGTATAAAACCAAATGACTCTCTTTGTACTGCTACATTGGTTTGCACCACTGCTCCAGTGGCATGAGAATATGGTTGCCTGAGCAGGTTTGCCAGGGGAATGATAACACTATGAAAGCTGTTGCTTTGGTTCTTCATGTATGAATGAGCAAGAATAAAGAATAGCTGATACTTTGAGTTCCCCAGAAAATGAAAAATGCACCAGTAGTCCCCAGTTTTTGTGTCTCTAGTGGCATAAAAATAAATCCCCTATGTCTGAGCCTTTCTAATCATAAAGCACTTTTCTCATTTCTTTGAAATGCTTTAGCTTTATTTTATTGGTACACTTGAAAATAATTTTCTGAGCAGTTTTCTAAAAGTTGTGCTGTTGTGTTTTCTTTTTTTTTAATTTTTTTTAATAATAAAAACCTAAATTGACAACTAGTGGGAAGTCAGAAGTAAGATACCTACCAGACATCACCCAAATCTTTTGTCTAATTACAATGACGTGAAGCTAGGGACACGATGGAAGTCTGTGGATGCTGCTGTTTTCCTGCAGTGAGATGTGAGCTTGAAGAATGCATATGAAGTTCTCAGAACTACCTGAAAGCACAAACTTAACACATGGTTTTAAGAGCACCTCTAGCACTTTGAAGACACGGCCCTATTTTGAACATCTGATAATCAGAAAAAGAATGAAATTTGAGGTGACATATGTATTCCTATATACTGTCATCACTCCAAAAATGCACAGGTAAGCAAAACATTGAACCTGGTCTCCCAAAGACCATCTACTGGATGGACAGTCGTCTGAATATGAGCCAGCAGTGTGCCCCAGGTGGCCAAGAAGGCCAATGGCATCCTGGCTTGTATCAGGAACAGTGTGGTGAGCAAAACTAGGGAAGTCATCCTTTCCCTGTACTCGGCATTGGTGAGGCCTCACTTCAAATACTGTGTTCAGTTTTGGGCACCTCAGTACAGAAAGGACATTGAAGTGCTGGAGCAGGTCCAAAGAAGGGCAACAGGGCTTGAGAAGGGCTTGGAGAATATGCCCTATGAGGAGAGACTGAAAGAACTGGGGCTGTTTAGCCTGGGGAAGAGGAGGCTGAGGGGAGACCTTATTGCTCTCTTCCAATAGGTGCTTACAGCAAGAGTGGGGCTGGTTTCTTCTCACTGGTGACAGGTGACAGGATAAGGGGAAATGGCCTCAAGTTGTGTCAGGGGAAGTTTAGGTTGGATATCAGGAAAAACTTCTTTACTGAATGGATTAAGTTAAGTTAAGCACTGGAATAGGCTCCCCAGGGAGGTGGTTGAGTCACCATCCCTGGGTGTGTTTAAAAACCATTTGGATGTGGTGCATGACTTAGCAGAGTTGTTAGGGTAGTATGGTCGGTTAGGTTGCACTTGGCCTCAATGATCTTTAAGGTCTTTTCCAACCTGAGCAGTTCTATGATTCTATGATTCTATGAAAGTTTTATTCGTATACTAAAAAAAGTGATCTATCGTATCAACACTACAGTGAATCAGATACTCACTTTGACTAGACAACAGCAAAACTTCTAATTGGGTTCTTAGAAACACCAGTGGATCTAAGCTTGTAGCAGAAGTCCTGTCCCTTGAATCAAAACTACAGAGGGGAGTGTTTTCAGTTCTCTATACTAATGGAGAAAGTATGTCTGAAGAGCATTTCCTGCTAACAGAAAGAATGACTACTGAAAAGAGTACTCTAAAATGAGGATGAGTAAGTAACTTAGATACTGAACAAATACAGGTCTATTGTATTGAGTAAGGCATCTTGCTGTGGTAAGGTACTTACTTCTCAATATGGATGGCCTACTTAATGATTTTTTTTAATTATTGCTTTTAATTAAGTGCTGGCTTAAGTGCTATCCATCAAATAGTCTGCACTCCCAGATGGCAATCCTGTACTGAAAATGGACTATAACCAAAAGCTGGCTTCCTAACAGCACTTGCTGATAGTTTTAACAGAAAATGAATTCATATTTTTGTTTTAAGCAATAAAAGGCAGAACATTTATGCAATTAGGTACTTGTATTTCTTTATAACACACCTGAAATTCAAAATTAGTGAGTTGGGAATGGTCTCAGGAGGTCAGCTAACCATTCCAGCCAGCTGGAGAAAATGGTGCAGCTCTTTCATTGCTGACAAGTCCTCATGTCCAGGCACTTCTTTGACGACCAATGCACAAACCGATAACATAAATGATCTCCTCCACTGCCTCATAAGCCTGGAACCAAAACTTTCCTGACCACTATCCTCAATGTCCTTCCTGTCATTCAACTCCATTATTTCTATGCCTGTTCAGTGTGTTCAAGGAGGACAGGTGACTTCTTCAACTTCGTGAGCAGTCTTTCACATATCTGAAGATTGTTATGTCATGCACTATCCCCTCCACTGTAGCTGTTCGATCCTTGCTTTTCCTCTTGTACCATGACTTCCAAACTTGCTTCTATCTATTCTCTTTTAGATTTCTTTCAATCAGTGCACACTTTCACAATGGTTGCCGCACCAGCAACTACTGAGCAGAGCAGACACTGTTGCAGTCATTCATGCTAAAGCAGCAGTAAGAAAAACACTGTTAATATAGAGAAGCTTGCTGGTATCCAAAATATGAGCCATTAGTACACCTCCGTGAAATAAATGTGTAGAAAATACATAGCTGTGCACAGTGGCACATAAGTCACATGAGAGGGGATACAGAGCTGAGGGTATGGCATACAGTACTGGCAGTGTGACACACATGCATTTTTTATGAAACAAATCATGTAAAAGCTGAGAGAATTTGCTGATGCACCTGAAGGCCGTGCTACCATTCAACAAGATCCGGACAGACTGGAGAGCTGGGCAGGGAGGAATCTGATGAGGTTTAACCAAAACAAGTGTAGTCTTGCACCTGGGGAGGAATAACTGCATGCATCAGTACAGGTAAGCGGATGACCTACCGAAGAGGAGCTCTGAAGACAAGGACCTGGGGGTCCTGGCGGACAACAGGTTGGCCGTGAGTGCGCCCTTGTGGCCAAGAAGACCAATGGTATCCTGAAGTGCATTGTAAAGAGTGTGGCCAGTAGGTTAAAGGAAGTGATCCCCCCCCTCTACCCTGCCCTGGTGAGGCCACATTTAGAATACCACATTCAGTTCAGGGCTCCTAGTAGTTCAGCTGAGAGTCACAAAAATGATTAAGAGCCTGGAGCATCTCCCACATGAGGAAAGGCTGAGCAACGTGGATCTGTTTGGACTGGGGAAAAGAAGATTTAGAGGGAATCTGATCAATGTTTACAAATATTTAAAGGGAGGTGGGAGGCAAATGGATGAGGCCAGGCTCTTCTCAGTGGCACGTAGCAACAGGACAAGGATCAATGGCCTAAAATTCGAACATAAGAAGTTCCGTACTAATATGCATAAGAACTTCTGTATGGTGAGGATGATAGAGCACTGGAACAGATTGCCCAGAGAGGTTGTGGATTTTCCTTCCATGGAGATATTCAAGACCCGTCTGGATGCCTATCTGTGTGACCTATTGTAGGGTACCTGCTTTAGCAGGGGCATTGGATTCGATGATCCATTCAGGTCCCTTCCAACCCCTATGATTCTGTATGGTTCCGTATGGCTTCCTACAAGGAAGGAGAGAAGAGTGAAAAAGGTGACTATTAATTCTCACCACACAGTACAGTAGTGCTCAAAGATCAACACAGGACAGCATCAGACATATCCCAAACTACTTTAGAAAAAAACGCTGAGAGGACTTAGTTTAAGACAGGCCCTCCAGTGTGCACTGCCTGGCCATTACGACGACTGTTTGCTTGACACTTTTTATATCTGATCTGCGGTCGTGATAGCAGTGTTAATGAAGACCACCTGCTCGGAAGCACATTTGGTGTTACGTATATTAGCAGGGAGTGAGTGGAATTCAAATCGTCCTGCGAGCGCACTCGGAGAAGTTGGAGGCTCTGAAAACTCCTCCAAACGAGCAGCCCCGGCCAGGAGACAGCGAATTCCGCTCAGCACCGCCCGCCGAACCGCGACCCAGCCTTCGACACAGCGCACGGCCGGGACGGCGAACGCTCGGCCCCGCGGCGTGGAGGGCGGCGGCCCGGCCCAGCCCGCCCCGTGCCGCGCAGCCCCGCCGCTCCCGCCTGCCCCCCGCGGCACATGACCCGCCATGGAGGCGCGCCGGCGCTGCCCAGAAGTTTGGAGCCGGTGGAGCGAGCGGAGGGGACGGCGGCAGCAGGCGCCCAGCCGCGGGCGGCACAGCGGGGCGGGTGGGCAGGTGAGGCGCGGCGCGGAGAGGAGCGGAGCAGAGCTAGGCAGCGGAGCGCGGCCGGGCGGGCTGACGGGCTGACGGACGGTGCGCGGCGGTGCTCCGGGCTGGGGCGAGGGTCCCGCGGCAGGACGGCGCGGGGCTGGTCGAGCGGGCCGGCAACTTCGGCTGTCAGCGAAGTGCGGGCACAGGGGGCTGCCTCGGAAGCCGGGATACGTCTGTGAGGGTGCAGAGAGAGCCGGGGCGGGCGAGCGGGCGGACAGAGCCGTGGGGCCGGAGGGAGGGCAGAGGCTTCGGGCGAGGCCGAACTCGGGGCGGGTCGCCGGGCGTCCCCGCTCTGCTCGCGCAACCCGCTGAAGGCGATGTTGATGTTGTGCCGTGCTGGTTCCTTCGGACTCGGCTCTCGGGACACTTGATTGAGAGATCGGGGATGACCGCGAAGCCGAAGGGGCCGCGTGGGTTGTCGCTGGTAGACGGTGCTTGGCGTTTCCCCCAGACAGCGCGCAGCGAGGCTGCCTCACGGACGTCAGGCGTTTCTGGTACCAGAGCCCAGCAGTACGCTTGGCCTCTGTATCAGACGGAGGCACCATCTGGAGGAAGTGGGGATGGTGAGGAGCCCCGGGGACAGGAGCCATAGCATCAGAAGGTACCTCATCTTTAGGTTGGCCCCACTGCCACCACCAGGAATCTCTGCAGCTTTGTTGTGTTTTCCATCCAGGAGAGTGTGGGCTGCTGCTGGCAGCTACAGGATGAAGTCGCCTCCCTGCTGCATGTCTCTTAATTCCCAAGCGTCCCTGGAGGAACAAGGCAATAGCACATCGCTGGGCTCCCTGGACTGCAGTGTTTTCTCCAGCGAGGAGGAGCAGGGGCCCCTGCTGCAGAAGGTTGTTCCTTCCTTGGACTGCTTTACAATCAATGTGGGAGGCAGCCGCTTTGTGATGTCCCAGCAAACTTTGTCTTGCTACCCCGACACTCGTCTTGGCAAACTGGCCGTGGTGGTCTCCGCTGCCCGGGATGTTGCCTCTGGCCTCCTTGAGCTCTGTGATGATGCTAACCTGGTGGAGAATGAGTATTTCTTTGACCGGAACTCGCAGGCATTTCACTACATCCTGAACTACTACCAGACAGGGAGACTGCATGTGATGGAGCAGCTGTGTGCACTCTCCTTCCTGCAGGAGATCCAGTACTGGGGCTTGGATGAGCTCAGCATCGACTCCTGCTGCAGAGATCGGTGAGCTGTGGGGAAAAAACACAGAGCAGGAGCATGGGCTGAGTGAGCTCAGCACTGGCTGGTGTTCAGGGACAGTCAGGTGAGAGATCCAGCAGTAGGGCAGAGAAGGTAGCACAGAAAAATATCCTCAAAGCTGGGTAAATCCAGCAGTGAATCCTACTCTGGAGGTAGATGGAAGCAGGAGATGGGACAAAGAGGTAAGTTGAGTGAGATCACTGCTTACCTTTGCTGTGAGGGACAGGTTAGCAGTGGGGGCAAGATAGTGAGAGCCTGGCATGAGCAGGATCTGGATTTTTCTGCACTAGTTTCAGACTGACCCTTGAAGTTCAAAGTAGAAAGTGGCAGCGCTGGAGATAGGATGTGCTGTGAAAGCAGAGATACACTTTCAGTGTCATTCAGATTGAGGCTTCATCTTAGCCAAGGGGGATCACATGTGTAGTCATGAGTCGAGAGAGTTTGGAGCGTCGCTGCCCAGCACTTTCTGCACAGTTCCAAGCAGGAGAGTCAGAAGGTGGGAGTGGTCACTGCTATACTGAGACTGGGTCACACAGCTGCAGGAGCAGTCTTGAGAAGCATAGAACACAGATGTAGCAGCTTACAGGGAGTGGGCAGCAGCAGGAGCGTGGCTTGTTGGAGACAAATTGTGACAGGAAGTTTAGGAACAAGGTGGATTTTGACTGAACCACCCACAGGATTTTTCTGTTAATTCTATTTGCACCTACTTTATCCCCCATATTAGCATTACTGGTTTGTCTGTAGTATAAAGAGTAAGTACAACTGCTGTTGATCAAACTGGTTATGTCAAAATTATTAGAAATAATCAAGCACATTCATCCTCCCTCACCCCTCCCCCCCTTCCAAAAAAGAGCTTTGGTTAATCCTATCCTTAAATGATTCAGTTCTGCATCTGAGACAGCGATATCCTAGTTTTCATCCCATTCTTCATTCACTAGTAGATAAAACTGAAAGATCCTAATTCCTTGGTGGTACAAGAACCTAACAGACCTCTTGGGCATATGCAGAAGTAACCGTGCATCAAATGAAGGCAAAATTGCATAGCCCCTTAATTTAAGTCTTGGTAACTACAGCTGTCAGGAAATACAGATATAAAGCAAAGTAATTTTTACAATATAGTTTGGGAATGTTGTTTCATGAAATAGTTCTGTAAGTACACTCTAACAAAGTGCTTGACTGTGCATTTACAATCGGTAAATTTCAGTCAGCAAAGATGCTTTGTTGTGTGACAGCCCATATGTTTAAAGTAAGATAACATGAGTAATCTGAGCACATATTGATCAAAACTTCATACATGAAATGCACAGCTTTCATTATGTCTTCCCTTCTAGCACTGCAGATACACACCAATGTAATAAAACTGCAATATAATTAATAAAACTGCAATAAAATTGAGGATAATGGAGAAACAGAAGGTCTGGATTGCTTATAAGAATACATGTTAGTCATGGAACTAATCCTACTGTAGTCAACATGATCTACATAAGTAGCACACTACCTGAATAAAATTACTATGCACATACAAACTGTCTCACTGCTGTGACATGGGTAAGTAGGAAACATGCTGTAGGGTCTCAGTTAGTCACAACACACTTGACCTTCACAACACGCTTGACATCAGGGTTTTCTAATTTCTGATGAGGTATACGTTTGTGTGTTCTTATGCCTTTCATGGTAGAGGATGAGAAAAGCATACGCATATTGGTATTAAAAATCTTTTTCTTGGGGGATTCCTGGGCAGGTACTTCAGGAGGAAGGAGCTGAGTGAAGCCTTAGACATCAAGAAAGATGCTGAAGAACTGGATGCTCAAGATGAGGAAGAGGACTTTTCTGGTAGCCTCTGTCCCAGTGTCAGACAAAAACTTTGGGAAGTTTTGGAAAAGCCTGGTTCCTCTGCAGCAGCCAGGACTTTTGGCACTTTATCCATGGCTTTTGTTGTTGTGTCCATTGCCAACATGGCTTTGATTTCAGTAGAGCTAAGCTGGCTGGCACCACCACTACTGGATGCCCTTGAGTACCTGTGCATTACATGGTTCACTGTGGAGTTTGTTCTGAGGTTCCTGTGTACACGGGATCGGTGTCGCTTTCTGAGGAATGTGGCAAACATCATAGACCTCCTTGCTATTTTACCTTTCTACATTACACTGCTGGTAGAGAGTCTGTGTGGTGGGGAGAGCTCCCAAGAACTGGAGAATGTGGGGCGCATTGTCCAAGTGCTGAGGCTGCTCAGAGCGCTGCGGATGTTGAAGCTGGGAAGACATTCAACAGGTACTTCAGCCATGGCAGTGGTAGTTCTTGCTTTTGCTACCAACAAACCGTCCCCATTTTGTGTGCATTTATATACAGTGTAACGTTAGCTGTGATGGCTTGTGAAACTCTTACTTGTGGACATTGATAACAGTGTCAGGAGATTTCTTCAATAAATTTTAGTTCTTCATAAAGCCAGTGCGATTTGTTTGCATAGAACATTTACAAAAGCAGGCCCCAAAGCTGCATGCTACAAGCCCTTCACCAGTCCACAATGTCACAAATTTGCAAGCATTTTTATTTGAGTTAGTTAGGAGCAAAGCAAGGGAAGAAACAGAAGTGACCCATGCTTTTATATTATCAGAGGCTCACTGGTGACAGTTTATAATTATCTGTCATCATTCGTTGCACTTCAAAAGTTTATGCAAATAAATGGATCATGATTTTTCCCACATCGCACATCCTGAAAACCTGTTGGATAGAGAATGGTTCAATAAAACTGTTTAAAGTGAATCATACTGGGCAGTGGGTTGATGGGCTTCCTGACCGTGTCGAACATGTTGGAATCTGTATGATATGTTGAACACAGCTGGGGCACTGAATTGGCGTTAGGTTCAGCACAGAGTGGCAATGTCAGGTTCAGCCAGCATTCTAATGTGGTGCCCTTCGTGTCCAACCACTCCTGATGCAGTCCTTCCAGAATTTCCTGCCTTGAAGCAGTAATGATTTGCTTCATTTTTTGGAGCTAATCTTCCCTACCCTCTTTGTGAACTGGCCCTATTTCAGTGGGCATTTTAGCAGCAGGATGTCTTTGATTTTTCCCACTGAAGAGCAGTGAATCTTCATACTATTAGCAGTGAGTAGCTTTATTACTGGTGAGCATAATCATAGTGGTTTCAGATTATGCCTGTCCCTTGGAAAGCAGTTGAGGGGAAGCTGCTAGTGCTTCAGTCTGTCAGTGAGTTTGCTCTTTCAGTATAATTTTTACGGTTTTTGTTCTATGCTGCCCTACTGCCCACTTCCAAGTACATGACTGTGAATGCATTCCTCCCTTGTTCTAAGAATAAGATTTTAACACACTAAGGCAATTCTGTGCTAAATGACAAGATTATGATCCAAAAGTATGTTAATTCTAGTTAGAAACTTTCCAAAGTTTCCATTTCAGTATACTTTACTGCTACAGAATGAATGCACGAAACTCAGTTCTGAGGCTGTGTCAGCTATAAAGTAAGTTTCAGATGCCTGTGTAGTAACCATTAACTTTAGCTGTATTCAGTGCTTCAGTGCTTGCAGAGCTGGTTTAAACCATAAGTGTCCAACCCATTGGTTTTATGTTTTTGTTTCCCTCTTTTTTGTTGTTGTTGGTTTTGTTGTTTTTTTTTTTGTTTCAATAAAAAGCGAATTTAAAGAAGCTTTTTTTGCTTATGTAAGTTAACTATATTATATATTTTCTATGTAGCTCAAGACAACGGCTTTTCACTCCTAGGCAAGCCATGGGTTGGACACCCATGGTCTAAACTTTTGTGCCTATTTATTTTTAAAGTTAAATCCATTAAAATATTATTGTAGTTTATTTCACAATATTGTCTTACTAATGTTAAGAGTTTAATAATTCATTTGCCATGTTTGGTAGAAGAAAGGAATTAATTTTATTTAAATACAGTCTTCTAATCTGAAAGTGAGCTGCCATCTTTCTTCTGCAATTGAAATACCAATTTCAGCATACAAAAATTGACATACATCACTATTTAAGCCATTCAGATCAGCATTACTGCCACTGTGCTTGCCTCTGGTAGTTTGGAATTACTAGTTACTTAGTTGCAGAACAGTAAATCAGCTTTGGCTCTTTTCTGTATAATTTAAACTTAGAAGGTCATGAATTTGATTTTCTGTCAGAAGAGGTGGTTGCTAAGGCAAAACAGAGCTCTAATAAATCAAGACAAAAAATAGATTAGCTGATCTGAAGCATAATTTTTGACCAGTAGAGGATTGTAGTGGAAGAGAGTTGTGCTGACACGGTTCTGAGCACACTTCTGACCATAGTAGCCAATAGAAGATAAACATTGTAAGTACAGTACACAGACACCATCCTCGCACATACCTAGGCAGTCCCAATAAATCTGAGTGTAAAAGTGGCACTCAAATACTTCTGTCTTGAATTAGGAGCTTAAAACTGCTTCCCAGTGAGGGTTCTGTGACTCTCGCACTCTCAGATCAGTTGAAATTTCATACACTGCTAGCCTGTTTTGTGTGGCAAAAGGAGTGCAGGATCAGACGAAAAGAGATGTAAAAATCTGTGGCTGCCAGGAGCAACTCCTCTGTCACCAAGGCAGGATGGTCACAGTCACGAGTCACCGTGCAGACCCATAGAAAAGCTGAGATCCCAGTGGCAGCATGGTTCTGTTATCAGAGGCAGAAATTAGTTAGGAAAAATTCTGAGTCCATTCTTTTTTCCTCTGTTTTTGAAGAAATAGCAGATTAGACCTTTTTGTGGGGAGGGGAAAGAAAAATGGAAAGAAAAATTCCTTTGAAAGCCAAACTCAGTTATCAGGAGATGGATGTAATGCAGAGAAACACCTGGGCCATACCAGAGTGAGTGTTAAATTATGCGAAGTGCTGTACCTCGTCAAAGAAAACTGATCAATTAGTAGTACTTCTACCAGTAGATGTATAGCTAGAGGATGAGATGACTTCTAAGATACTGAAGTTACAGATTTGAGTGGATTAGGAACGAGTAAGGACCTGCGTTTTTCACATTTTCTGATGCTCCTCAGCTGTTGGCTTCCTTCTGGGACCATGTCTTGTCTGAGGCTTTGCTGGTCCTATAGGAAGCACTTAGAAATTTACTCCTTGAGAAGCAGGATGTGAGCATCTGATGGCAATGAGCACGTTAGAGAGAAGTTTGTAGCATATGTCAGGGTGAGATGTTTCTGGATTCATGAGAAAGCAAAACTTCAGCATATTCAGAATTCAGTGCCAAAAATTCAGGATGATTTAAATGCTGTGTGTTAACTGAGTCTCCTGATTTTCAGCTTGCATTATCAAGTTCCTTTGGGCAACAGAGGTGGAACTTGCGATATATGGCAGAAATGCTTCTCCTTCCTGCTGCTGGTTCCAAGGCTGGAGCTGTTTGCTTGCCCCAACCATACTGGCTGTTGTAGCAGCTTAGCACTTTCCAGCATGAGTAACCAAACTGTTACAGCTCCTGGCAAGGAGCTCTCATAATTCTCATAAGACTTGCTGAAGTGTCTGTGATGGAACAGCGCTACTTTGGCTATATGTTAGGGCTGGATAAATCATTTTTAAAAGTTAAAGTAAAGCAGAATACATAATCCTTCTGAATACACCAACTGAATCCCATTTGGAATGAACTGTGGAGTCCAGTAAGTTGTCTGGATCATAGTTGCATCTGAAAACATCTCCTGACTTCTGAAGGCGTGAAGTGATGCAGAACCACCACTTCACTGATCAAGCACCATGACTACACATATTTACTTTGATTTTTTAAAAATGAAGGTCAGGCATTGTTTCTTTATTTTTCTATTTTTTTTCCTTTTTTTTTGCTCTGATCTTAACAAGTTAAAGAGTACTTTAGTTATTATTTTCCTTCATAATAATTAAGATAACCAATACCTGGTTTTGATAACCAAGGCAGCTTAAGTTCTGTTGTTTTTTTCCCAGATACTGAATCATTTTTATACTTTTTTCAGCAAAGTTTTTTCAGCATCATTGCTTTATATGAAGATACTAGAACTTAGAGTAATTTTAGAAGAACTTATCAGGCTCCTTAATAGTAAGAATAATTAACCCTTTAAAAAATATTTTGCTGAAGGTGTCATCAATGTGATGCAAATAGTTAGCAGTCACAGCCTTGTTCCTGCTTATTTCAACCTGATTTAAGAAAGTTGTGCTGTTGTTTTGTTGTTTTGTTGTGTTTTTTAATCCAGTATTCTTGGGCTCCCTTGTAAAGGGCAAACCTGGATTTTACAGTCTTTATTTCATAGACTTTTAAATTGGTGTACCTTCTTCCTAGGTCACCTGAAAGAATTTATTCTTCTACCTTGTTCAGTATGAAATTTTACATGGCAGTTGAGTAGAATAACTTCCTTGGAAGATGAGAGCTTGATCTGTGTCCTCACAATTGTCCCTTCCCTTTGCACTGCTATCTTAGTGTATTTTCAGAATCTGGAGAAAGTCTCCTTAATAGAAAAAAAGATGAGTCTGATGTATCTTATTCCCCTTTTCTGTTACATAATTAACCTGTATCATTACAATAAACATTCTGAGCAACAGACTATCATTATAGCAATATAAAATCTGGATAGGGGCAAATCCTTAACTGTAGCTAGCAGAAGACAACTTTGAAAAAGGAAACATGCCCTACAGAATAGTCTGTTCTTCCACTGTTTGCTGAACATAAAGGAAAACTTTAAAACTCATTAGATCTAAAGGGAAAAAGAAACAGACCAAAAGGAAAAAGAAATTTTGACTTATTTTATTTTGAGATTGTGGAAGGAAAGCAAATCAAATTATTTGTTACTTCAATGAGCATATGAAGTCTGCAAGCAGAAGCAGCAAGCTTCTATGCAAATGTTCTAGTTAGAACTGTACTCTTATGAAAAGAAGTTGATAAGCATTGTGGGTTGTTTTTTTTCCACTTATTCAGGAAAACATATAGCATGTTTTTAAGAAGAACATTAACAATCCAAAATCAGTTGTGATTCAAAAGATAATTTCAGTCTCTCATGTTTTTCAACCTGTTTGGTACCGTTATCTTCTTTTGTTTATGAGCAACATTTATCCATTGCAATGTTATTGGATTTACTTTCCTGCTTGCTTTGTCAGGCAGCCTAGCCTTGAGGCAGCAGCTCTAAAAGGAATGTGGGGCATTATGGAGAGCAATCTGCTGCACAGAAATTCCCTGTTCGACTCATGGGCATTGGTGAATTAGCAGGAGAATTCTTGTTTGCTTTGGGAAGCTTTGCTATCTCCAGTTTTGGCACAAGCACAGCTGCTCCTGGACTACTGTATTTGTTTTGATCTCTCTAGATAAAGATGTTGGGAAGAAGGGTCAGAGGGAGGTGATGAGAACTATAAAAGGACTGTAAACAGTGCTTAGCAAAGAAGAGGTACTGTGTGACAGAATTAGGCTCGAAGTACCCACCTGGGAACGTGAATTTGACAACAGGGTGCTCTTTGGTCCAAGAGAAAAATACGATAATGGCTGGAAAACAAGCACATTCCAACTGAAAGTAGGAAGCAGATGTTTTTAGTAGTTTTAAATGGCTATTTAGGTAACTTAATAAAAATTGTGGTAGGCTCTCCATTATGGCCAATTACTAAATCAAGATTGGCTAGTTTTTCTAAATCATATGTTGTATGTAGTTCAAATGATAAGCAATAAGAAGAATTTATATGCTCTGTATAAAGGAGAATGAGATGATGTCAGTGTTTTAGTCTAACATCTTAATCTGTTTCTTTTTAAATCACATTTTCGCAGTAGTTTTGCTTGTAGGAACTGCAGCCCTTTTTCATAAGCCATGTTCATTAACAGCCAAAACAAAGGCATAAAACGATCAGCTTTCAAATACGGTATGTTTCATGGATCTCTGAAGGAAGCTACACAAATCAACTTACTGACAGCATTTCTTGTTTTTCAGGGTTGCGGTCCCTTGGAATGACAATTGCACAGTGCTACGAGGAGGTTGGCCTGCTGCTGCTTTTCCTTTCTGTAGGAATCTCTATATTTTCCACAGTGGAGTATTTTGTTGAGCAAGGTGTGCCAGGCACAACATTCACAAGCGTACCTGGTGCTTGGTGGTGGGCAACAACATCCATGACAACTGTTGGTTATGGTGACATTAGACCAGATACAACTGTTGGTAAGGTAGTGGCCTTCATGTGTATACTGTCAGGAATACTAGTTTTGGCTTTGCCAATAGCTATCATAAATGACCGGTTTTCTGCCTGTTACTTTACACTGAAGATAAAAGAAGCTGCTCTTCGGCAGCGTGAAGCTTTAAAGAGACTCATGAAGAACTCATCCAGTGACTCAAATATCAATGTTAATTTGCGAGACATATATGCACGCAGTGTCATGGATATGTTACGACTGAAAAGCAGAGAGCGAGCGAGCACAAGGAGCAGTGGAGGAGATGACTTTTGGTTTTGACTTTTAAGTTATTTAGCCTTGTATAGCAAATAGACTACTTCAGAAATGTGGTATTAAGAATCTGTTTTTTTATCATTCAACACATAATGTGTTGCTTTTCCATCTGGAGCTCTACGTACTTGTATAGAATGATATAGCTGGTGTAAGCAAAAGGCTCTGAGGGCACCAGAAACATACCCCCAGAACTTGGTTGATGAGAGAGAAAATAATGGGTCCATCAAAGTAAAATAGTGTTACAAACACTTGTCTATGAATCTTATGTTCTTGCTAATGTATAGTAATAAAATCTTTTAGCTGAAATTGCCATGGTGTTTTGAATTTTGAAGACCTATAGGATTTGTATTTGAAAAAAAAACAAAACAAAACAAAAAACCAAAGTTAAATACATTAGGAAAATCTGAAGTAAATAGTTACCAGATATATACGTGGTGGATATCAGGAGATGATAGGTGAGAAGTATTAAGCTGACGACACCAAGCTGAGTGGTGTGGTTGACACAGTAGAAGGAATGGATGCCATTCAGAGGGACCTCGAGAGACTGGAAAGGTGGACCAGGGTGAACCTGATGAGGTTCAACATGGCAAAGTGCAGAGTTTTGCACTTGGGACGGAGGAATCCCAGGCATCCATACAGACTGGAAGGAGCAGTCCTTGAGAGCAGCCCTGCAGAGAAGGACCTGAGGGTCTTGATAGATGAAAAGCTTAACATGAGCCAGCAGTTTGCCTTTGAGGCTCAGAAGGCAAATGGTATCCTGGGCTCCATCAAAAGAGGGGTGGCCAACAGGGACAGGGAGTTGATTGTCCCTATCTACTCTGCTCTTGTGAGGCCCCATCAAGAGTACTGTGTCCAAGTGTGGAGCCCCCAGTACAGAAAAGACAGGGAGCTGCTGGAGAGGGTACAGAAGAGAGCCACGAAGATGATCAGGGGACTGGAGCACCTCCCCTGTGAAGACAGGCTGAGGGAGCTGGGCTTGTTCAGCCTGGAGAAAAGAAGGCTGCAGGGTCACCTCATTGCAGCCTTTCAGTACCTAAAGGGAGCCTACAAACAGGAGGGGAATCAACTCTTTGAAAGGGTTGGTAACAGGACAAGGGGAAATGGTTTTAAGTTGAGGGAGGGAAGATTTAGGTTGGATGTCAGGCGGAAGTTCTTTACAGAGAGAATGGTGAGGTACTGGAACATGCTGCCCAGAGAGGTTGTGGATGCTCCGTCCCTGGAGGTGTTCAGGACCAGGTTGGATGGGGCCCTGGGCAGCCTGGTCTAGTATTAAATAGGGAGAATGGTGGCCCTGCATGTGGCAGGGAGGGATTTGAAGATTCATGATCCTTGATGTCCCTTCCAACCCTGGCCATTCTGTGATTCTGTGATCAAAGATCTGCAGCCAAGTGTAAAGTAGTCATGAACTGTGTGCTGTAACTTCGAGCACCCTCTGCAATTGCTGCAGAAGTTAGAGGAGATAATACAGCAGAAATACAGCACTCTCTTTTGCAGCAGTGAGTTCATTTACAAACTTACTTTGAACAATGCCTTCTTGTGTTTTGATTCTCTTAGCTTATTTGTGCAGCTAAGCAGATTTTGCATTTAAGTAAAGTCACCAGTGGATACCAGAAGAAACAGAAATGGTAAAAGTTAACAAGTTACTAATTTCTCTATCTCCTGTTAAAATCAGGAAGTATTCCAGTAAGTTAGCCAGATGTAAAAAAAAATGATCATAATCTTGTAATAGGTTAGGTCAAAAATCACAAACTTCTCATTTCATTTCTTCAGCAATGTAATCACAAACGTTATTTACATTTGTTATTAATTCAACATACTACCTGAAAGGAGGCATCTGCTAGCTGTGGATTATTTAATTCGATCAAGTATTTATGTGTTTAGAAGGCTTAGACTGTCTTTGAATATATGTGAATAGGTGAAAATACTGCTTTTAGTAAATACCCAATAACTTTTGTTTAGAAGCAAGAATGTGTTTTCCTCCCATTCTCTGTAATGTAATACAGAAAGCAGATTTTTCAAAACTACAACCTCGAAGCAAACTTCACAAAAATTCAACTCCTGATTAGTCAGTTGATATCATCCAGCATTTGGATTTGTGATGAGTGTGGCATGTGCTGCAGCCATCAGGGGCATGAGAAAACTAAGTGAAAGTGTAAGATACCAGATGAGTGTGTCTTGCTCTACCAATATGTCTTGTTCTGAAAATTCAGAAGTCAGGCTTACCATCTGTGTTACACAAAGATCAAACAGTGTTATCACAGTGTTTCCTTCTTCCCTGATATTCTATAAGTACATAACAAAACTCCCATGGATGTCCAGGAGACACAATTAATTCTGTGGGGAAAGGCTTGATGCAGCCCACTCTAAGTTAATTCATAGCTCCTTAGAGCAGGAAGTCCCTGAGCTGCACAAATTGTACAGGCTGTTTCTCACTCAAAAGTCATTCTAATTATAGAGAATTAGGAAGAAGCTTTTATTGTGGGAAGACTGTTTTGTAATGTCTTTTGTGCTTTCTTGTACAGTAACTGATTCTCTGTTTGAGAAAGGAAATGCAGTTAGATAGATGACTGATCCTCTTCAGGGAATGCGGCTTTTATTGCATCCTGTGTTTGTTATGAAGGACTCGAAAGAAGGAGAGAAATGTTCTGGGGTTTATCAGTTGATTCACTCCTTACACCAGGTCTGAAAATAAAATTTCTTAGGAATGCCTTTCGGGAGATGTGGCTGAGACTTTATCCAGTAGCTGCTTCAACTTCTATTTTCAAACCTCTTGATTTTAAATTCAAAGTCTCAAAAGAAGTAAAGTGTTTGTCAATTGTGTTGTTTATTCAGCAAGACTATTCAGTAATATTACCTATTTGCAGATGAAGATTGGTTCTGATTTCAGCTCTTACAGATGGGACCAGAGCATTCATACTGAGACATAAACGGTACAGGGTATTACAATTCTAAAACATGAATCTACGCCATTTCTCTTCTACTACAGATTTGTAAAACAGCTCTGTCATCACTAAGGCACCAAACTAAGGATATTACCATGCTATCTTTTGAATTTTACGCAGAAGATAAGTAAGTAACTACCTCTTGTCCTCACATCTGCCATTTCCATCACACAGTAGACTGGGCTGAAAGGGTCATGTGTCAGAACATGAAATAATTCCAAAAACTGCAATCAAGGGATGTAACTGTAGCACTTAATCCAGCCTGCTCTAACCTTGGTTCACTAATACAGGAAATGATACTAGTTAAAAGACAGTGGTATAGGCTATAGTGCAGACTAACAGTCTGAAAATTCTTGTGTATTTCTTCATAGATGCTCAGGGGCAGCACTTAGCTGATGACACTGTGGTCCAACCCCACCAGAACTTTTTAAACATCACTAATATTTTACTTTGTTCTCTCTTTAAAGAAGGTCACCAGCTTTCTACACTGCAACAGGCAGAGCATTACTAACAGGTTGAGGGAAGTGGTCCTTACCCAGCTGGTGAGACACAGCTGGGTGCTGAGTCCAGTACAAAAGAGACAGAGACATACTGGAGAGAGATCAGCAAAATACTGGAGTGCCACATTGTAGAGTCTGACACTACAGAGAACCCTCGTGGGATGGACGGGGTGATTTATAACTTCTGGGGATAAATTATAGAAAGGTACTTAGAAATCTCCATTTACTTACATTTTACAACTGTTTAATATTGTGATTTACCTTTTATATTATGGATATTGATCCTGAATGCAGAGTTCACTGAGCACTGGTTAAGTAAGCTTTGTTAGTAAGTCAATAAACCACTTCAATCTCGATTTGATATAAGCTACATAAGATGAGCAGTTTTAAGATGAGCAGGAGAGGAGTTCTGCTGGCCAACTCTGAGTTTGTGAGGCTGCCATGTGGCAGATCTGGCAAATCAAGTTGAACACAAAAAAGAGCACAGAGGAGAAAGTTGTGAAGTTTTTTACATGTAATGCCCATTTATTTTTGCTCTCTGACATTAAAAATCTATAAATTCTCATTTTGATACTATCCTGATAATGAGTAACATTTTTCTCATTTTCTGAAGTACTGTCCTTGCAAACCTCCTCTGAGGTATATTTGCATATGAACAATTCAGCTAAAACCTTTTTTTGCTGGGATGCCCAACATCTAAAATGCATTAAAGCAGGTGTTGCTGATGCAACTCATACCTGTACGAGTATAAGTTGCTGTTATCACAGAGCCTCACTGTATAGCAGCGGGTGCAGAGCAGCACATTTCTTAGTCTCACCTCTGCAGATGGGGTCTGCAGGGCTTTGGGCTCTTGAACGTATTATTCATTGAAGAGGGTTGTTGGAGTCAATAATCTCTCTATAACCGAGATGCATTTTTCTAGTTTAACTTCTTTTAAATTTAATTTTCCAATTTTTGAGTGTTTTAACCAATCCCATAATTGTTACAGTTTTGCTTTTAATACCAAAGCACAGTTTGTAAGAATTTGATGAGGCATGTAGTCTTGGTGTAAATGGTGAGCTCTACCTGATGAGCAGCACAGATTAAAGGCATTCCACCAGTAAAAACCTGAATAACTTATTTATAATTAACTTGTTGTTGATGTATGAAAAAGTCTTTTCTGATAAAGTTGACCTTGGTATGTTTGATGGGCAATTCTGCTAGTTGTGTTATCTGATTAAAACTAGGCACAAGTGCACACTGCAATATAACAAAAACATGCCACTGCAAAGAGCCTCCTTAAATGATAACATACTCCTTAAAAGTCAAAGCAAAATCTCTAGAGGTGTGGGATTTCCTCTAGCTCCAGCTAACTTTATGCAGCTTTTAGTAAGACTAAATCTGCTGGTAAGTCAGGTATCATTGCTATGTAGTCATGTAACTAATACATTCATTTCACTTGAACGTGTGAGAAAGACAGTTGTCTTTCCAAACTGCACAACAGAGATAGGTCCTGGGAAATGGATAAAGTGTGGATGACTTTTTTCATTGCCTAATGTATGAACCAGCTTACAAGGAGAGCTGAGAACACTCATAAA